TTTTCTGAATTCAGGCAATTGCACATGTTTATTCTCTCCCTCCCAACTTGGAAAGTCCCTAATCTTTCCTTCAATTAGAAATCAGATTACCTAATGTATTATTTCCTTTTAATTAATTGGTCTTATTTGATTAATTGTTTTTAATGTCTAAAAGTTTGTCTCCCCCTGTATTTGGGGTCCAGCCCTTAGTTGAGGAAGCGGCCTGATCCCAATTTGTTGGGCAATTGGCATGCAGCGCTTAATGGATCTAAATGCTCAGACCTAAGTCATTTCATCTTTCACCTGCCACAGTTTTTGTAGCTCTAAGCATCTAGAATATTTTGCACACATTTGGAGGAATCAAGTATTACCACTAAGAACCTAAAAATCTACGTAGAAAATACACGTATAACCACATTGGATCAAGTACACTTTGATACCTCTGATATATGTGGACTTATTTTATAAAAGCTATTATGCTCTAACTGCCAATGAAGAAATTAAATTATTACGTCTTTCCCCTTCCCCAACTTCCCCACGAAGACACACTAGGAGCTACTAATGGAAGCTTTGGAGAGGTAGAGGCATTGTAAAGTTGCAACTACATAAGACTTCCAAAGGTCATTTAACTATACAGGAGCTGCACCACTAAACTCTGAACTCTCTGGGACCATTCTCCTCATTCAGGACATTTTCTACCACCGTCTACCTCTTGTTCTCAGAACTGTGATCAAATCAACACTCACATTGCCTCTGCAAAGGGCATGTCTATTAATTGTGGTAGTTTTCTACGGACCATCTTTGTGAGTTACGAAACCAAAACACCTTTGCTTGGTCACCATGATCTTTCCCTATTAGAATTTAAGCTCCTTGAGGGCAAGAACTATCTTGCTTGTATTTGTATCTCCCATACTTATCACAGTGCTTGGCAAATAGTAAGCACTGAATAAATTCTTTTTCATTTATCCATTAATTAAATGACCATTAGGAACTTAATTCTTACTCAGTCCATATATTAAACAGTGGGCAGACCTTACTGATTTTACCTGTTTACTCAAATCTCTTCTCTCCATTTGCATCTCGATCACTCTAGTTCAGACCCTCACTAATTTTTGCCTGTATTATTGCAATAGCCTCCCAATACATCTTCCTGCCTCAAATCTTAATCCTCCCTAATCCATCCTCCATTCAGCTGCCAAAGTGATATTCTTAAAGCACAGGTCTAAACATGACTCAGCCCCACCCTCCCCCCATTCAATATACTCTAATGGCTCCCTAGTAGTTGGCTGGACCATATACAAACTACCTTATTTGGCATTAAGTCATTCAGAGCCTAGCTCTAACGTAACATCTCCACCCTAATTTGATATTATCTTTCAGGAATTCTATGGTCCTGTCAAACTGGCTTTCCTTTTGTCCTTCATACACAACTTTCCTTCCTTCATCTAAGCACAGGCTGTCCTTTATGTCTGAAATGCATTCCCTCCTCATTTCTACATTTTAGAATCCCTAGTTTCCTTCAAAGCTCAGATAAAATGCTACCTTCTGCATGATTCCTTTCTTTATGTCCCACCTGCCAATCCCCATCCCCAGTTCCATTGTGGTTATTTTGTATATGTTCTGGATATGATATCTTCTCTTTTAGAATGCAACCTCCTAGGGGGAAGGGGCTATTTTATTTTCTTCTTAGTATTCTCAGTGCCTAACCTGTGAATGTTCCTAGGCATCTCAAACTTAATAATAAATGCCTTTTTTTCTTGTTTGATTATAAATAAAACCTCTCTTCCTTTTTTTTTTTTTTCATGTGTCTGGGCAGAATCAATGTATCCTCTCTCTTATGGAGTAGGAGTAAATCTGATTGAGTCACTACCACTGAAATACTAACTGAATAACTGGATGGATGCTGAAACAGAAATCTGTGAGGTTGGTTGTAGTGATAGTACCCAGCATGAATCATGGGATGGGAGTGGGAAGCATTAATGAGAAGTTTTAATATTTAAATTCTTTGATGTTATTTCATGAGGCATTTTCCTTGTGTGATGCTTTTATCTTGTCTCATGGATTCAGCTTCAGTTGCTTTATATTTGTTACATATTTCATGTGTGTGTGTGTGTGTTTGTGTGTGTGTGTGTGTGTGTGTGTGTTCAGTTTTGAAAGGTTTGTGGAAAGCTACTGGTCTACCATCTTGCTGATCATGTGACCTGAACTTCTTATTGATCATTGTGTATTAGTTCAAATTTCTTTAAGCTTTTCTCAGTTTTTTAAACAATATCTTTCTTTTTATATTCATGATCTACTAAAATTAAAAGACCTCTTCATGTCTAATTCCATTACTCCATATTCCTTTTCTAGAGTTTTGATCTCCATTTTCTTCAAATTTTACTTAAATTTGAATTCTTCAAAACAATAATGCTAAAGTAAACCACCAAAAATGCTGGGTCAGGTAACAAATAAAAAGTCAAAAAGACAAAACAATATTCTGAACAACATATAGTATGACTCCAAAACAATATACCCAGAACCACGTAAATGTGGATTACAATAACTGTACATATACAATTATAAAGGCAAGTGATATTTGGAAAATCAATGTCACATGCAAAATGAGTAGCAGTGTTGTAAACAGCTCATAATTTAAAATATTAATAACCAAGATCATTCACAAGTTCAATTCACAAGTTCTAGAAAGATTATGGGTCAATGATGAGAGAAGAAAGTACTATTGACAAAATAAAATTTAAATTTAAAAAATGTCAAAATTCTGCCCCTGTAGCACTGTTTGATTACTCCAAGCAAGGCTGTACTAGCTTTGAGGGTGTATTCATGACAGAACCATCACCATAATCTATTCTCGCCCCTTTTAAACATTCAAAGAGTTGACCCCAAACACCTTATATGGGGGCAGGGGATTGTGACTAATGGAAGAGCCCTTCCGGGGCAGCTAGGTGGCGCAGTGGATAGAGCACCAGCCCTGGAGTCAGGAGGATCTGAGTTCAAATGTGACCTCAGACACTTGACACTTACTAGCTGTGTGACCCTGGGCAAGTCACTTAACCCCCATTGCCTAGCCAAAAAAAAAAAAAAAAAAAAGGAAGAGCCCCCCACTTTCAGCATCCAGGTGGTCAGATTTCCATTTTTAGACATTCTCGTTACAGTTCAGGTGGTTATGTTTCCTGTTCTTATTTTCCATCACCAAAATGCAACAGCATATGCAACCTTTTGGAACAATCTCTTTGGCACTGTCAGCTGCCATAAACTATGCAAACATGAACAGATACAAACAGTTTTGATACAGAAATATTATTTTTTAAACCAAGAAAAGTAGTCACTACTCTTCCTCAATCTTTACAACTCGATCTTTATAACCATTTTACCTCTCCTGTGATATTCTGATCCTGAAGTTTCACCATCTCCTCATACCACAATTTATCCATGTGTTGACTGAAGGAGATCTTTTGACAGAGAAAACAGAGGCTTCCCAAGGTTACATGTTGCCCCTTGCTGAGGTCATTGTGGAATAATGATCTTCTGAGGTACAGAGGAAGAAAGGCCAGTAAAAAAAAAAACAAAAAAAAACTATTATTGACCCACTCTGCAGTAGAGTCTCTGGGAAAAATATTTTAAATAAATCTTAGGTTTGGCACAAAGATCTCCCCAAATGGGATTAGCAACTTCCTGAAAAGTTTCTCAGTGTACAAAGTAGTAAATATCAGGTAGAGAGAGGGCAGCTATTTATTTCCTCCACTATGAAAGAATGCCTAAAACACAAAAGACTCATATACTTTTAGCACATATTGGAAACATAATCTACAACCCAACATTTGTATTATACTATTTCTGGAGATAAACACTACCAGTAGATTTGTGGGAACAGATATTTCACATTCACCTTGAATCTGTACTGTGTGAGCAGCAATTCCAGGTTTGTATCTTCTGGTCAGCCAGGAATGTATGGTTATTAATCTCCCTGGAAATGGTTGTCCCCTCTTCTGAGAACATGCTTTCAGAGAGCACTTGATTTAATGATTCCTGACCCCCTCAGACTCACAAGGTAGTTGATGAGGCTGGACAAGTATATTTCTCAGGATCAATATTCCTTTCAGAAAAGGCAGTTAGTGCCTTGAATTTCTGTATTAGGCTCACTCATTGCCCCTTGTGTAGTTACTATTGCTGCTACTGGGAAAGTGCATGGGAGAGAAATCCCCTTCCCACCCTCTTGCTGAAAATCCAAGGGAAAGCTGGCAATGGCATTGTCCCCACAAAGATACTGCCCCCCACTTTAGACCGTGAGCTCCTTATTTTTGTTTTTCTTTGATGGTGGAGGGACCTAGAGTCAGAAGGACCTGAGCTCAAATTTAGCCATGCCATCCTGGACAAGTCACCTAACTTAAGTTTGCCCCGGGTTCCTCATTTATAAAACCGGGATAATAATAGCACATATGTTCCAGGGTTGTTGTGATGATCAAATAAAATAATAATTGTAAATGCTCAGCATAGTGCCTGGCACATAGTAAGCTGCTACACAAAATTTAGCATGATGATGATGATGATGATGATGATGATGATGATGATAATGATGGTGAAGATGATGTCATAATCATCATCATCACCATATCACCACCACCATCATCACTAGTATAATTACCTGCAGACCTTGGCACAGTGCCTGGCACATAGTGAACACTTAATAAATATTTGGGGACTTGACTTGGGGAAATCATTGTACACCTCCAGTGCTCTGCTTCCTCTTCTGGAGGGGATGGCAGTAAATCAAGCACAAGGTCCTTTTCCAGTTTTCTGTCCTAGGAAATTGCCCCAGGGCTGTCTGTCCTCCTGCCCCTAGGGAGCGAGGACGGGCTGCGCACAGGGCGTAGCGCCGCGGGCCCGCGCCAGGGGGCGCCACGGGGCCGCTCCGCAGCGCCACGAAGCTTCGCGGGGCGGCGGAAAGCGGCCCGAGTCGGCGCAGCCCCCGGGCGTCCTGCGGCAGTCGCTGTGGCGCTCGGCTGAGGGAGCGCACGGAAGGTTCCTCCCCCTCGCCATGGCCGCAGCTCCTGCACCCTTTGCCCCGGCCACTGCGGCTCAGCCCCGAGCCTGATCCGCGCGGGCACCCACGAGCACCCGGAGAATCCCGCGGAGCTGGAAAGCGGCTGCGAGAGGACCGGAAGAGACCCTCCCCCGGACCTGAACTTGGCCGGGGGCAGAGGTGAGTGTCCCGCGCGTGCCCCGGCGGCCGGGCTCCCCGCGCGCCCCGCTTCTCCGCGGGGGCCGGCTTCCCGGGCTAGCGCGGTCCCGTCCGAGCCTGGTCCGGGCAGCGCTGACCTTCGCAGGCAGTGCTTGCGGCATTTGCGCCCCCGGCCAGGGAGTGAGTGGAAGGAGGAGACGTCCACGAGGGCCTTTATTTTTGAGCCCCGCGCATTACCTGTTGCACACCTAGTTTTAACCCGCCTGCAGCAGCGGGGACCATCACGCCTACGGCAGTGGGGAGATGCAAGGCGACCCGTGTGGGAGGATGAACAGCGATAGAAAGATTAGTAATAATCCTGAGGCCAGAAGATTTGATTTCAGGCTCCAAAGCAGTCCAGAACAGCATCCACAGCGCATGAAAATTCTTGGTGCGAATTTACCCTTAGCAGAAATATTAGTGACAAGTATTCAGAAGCTCGTTATGGGCAAGAGCAGTATCTTACTTCATCTTTGCATCCCTAGTGTCTAGCACGGTACCTTGCATACAGTAGGTGCTTATTAAATATTTATTGTATTGGGTTCCCTTCTTGCACTAAATCCTGTGGTCCTCCAAATAACAAATGTCTATTTTTTTAAAAAGTGATTTGCATCTCCCTTGAATCAGTCAGTGACCTCCTGAAATTGAAGCTAAGAATAAACTAGTTTTCTGAGATAAGCATTTCTTCCAGTGTGATTTGTTTTAAACATCAGAAACTTGGAAACAAATGACATAAAGTAGAGATTATTAAAACAGAACTCACATCCATGTTTGTGATTTGACTGCCAAATGTGAGATGCCTAATTTTATTGTGAGAAATAAAATTTTGAAGAGCCACTGTCAGTCAATTTTATGTCTCCCCCATCAGTTATTTCCTGGAACATGGCATGAGCTTGACAATACCCAGCTGTAACTTCATGAGGTAATAAATGGAGAGAAATCTTGTTCTTCTGTGAAATTCCTGTCACTGGGGCTGGATGGAAGTTATTGAAATATTTGGCTTTCTAAATACTGTTTCACAGAAAGATTAGATGGTAAAGTTCACGAAATATAAACCAGACAAATATGGTCTTAAAAAAGGACAACTTTGCATGAAATGTTGACTATTAGTATATACAAACCATGTAAAAACGTTTGCATATTCAATATTTCAGATTTATTTTTCAAGCAAATAATGTCATTTGATAATTATGTGACTGAAATACATTTTACAGAATTTTCTCTAGGGAAACATAGTTCCCTGGTGCAGTGGACAGAATCCTGGACTTGGAGACATAGGACCTAGGTTTGAATCCAGGATTTTCTAATTTACTCCTTGGATGACCTTGGGTTTCCATTTCTCATTTGGAAAAAGAGAGACCTGGATTAGATGACCTCTAAGATGTTGCAGGCCTAAATCTGTGATCCATAATGGTTGAGGCCCTTTTTGTAACCTTCCCTATGAATAATCATGGCCATAGAAGGATAAAATAAGAGAACCTTTCATTTTTAGGTAAAGGTATGAAATTGGACAAAGAATAGATGCTAAAAGCTTTTCTTGACATTTTGTTTTGTTTTGTTTTTAATTGTTAAAGGCAGTTTTCCCTAATTAGAGGATATTATTAACATGTTAGCAAGTGGTAATATGGATCTTTTGGTCTTACATTTAGAAAGCAGCAAATGCATGACTAAAAGCCTGAAAGTAGAGATTTTGCTGAAGTATATATGTTAGCACAATACATATTCGTGTGTTTGTGTGAAATAGCACAAATGAATAATAAACTCTAGTACATCATTGCAGTTACAGAACTTTTTTTTCAGAAATTTTCACCTTTGTTAAAGCTATTACTTTTGCTAATGCCATTCTCCTTTGAGTAATTACTTTGCTATTGAAAGTAAAGTTTTCTGAAAAATTGCAGATAATATAGCTAAGAAGACTAGCTAGTAGGTTGGAGAATAGAATTAAGGTTTTTTTAAATATATTGATAGGTTAGGAAAGCAGGAAGATAATGTCAAGTCCTGCATTTGAGTTTAAAAAAATAAAGATTGGGGGACATTGGCCTTGACTAAAATAGTTCATGGGAAAAGATAGTTGTCTAAAAATTCAACTGAGAGGCAGTGTGTGGTAGTGGGTAGAGCACTGGCTTAGAGCCAGAAGGACCTGGAACCAAGTCCTGCCTTTGACCTATACTGGCCAGACAAGTCACTTAACCTTTCAGATAGATGCCTTAGGCAGATCTCAGCTGAGAAGATGCTAACTTGTATTTAGTAGAATTTTACTAAGGGAGTTTATTCATCTGGGAGTTCCCTTAAAAGAGATCGCAGATCTAGCCCCTATCCCTCTTGTACAAATTCAGTATAAACCAATTTGGTAATTAGACTGCTGGAAACTAATGAATGAATAACAGGAATATCTAGATCAAAGAAAGCTATAGACTCACTGTTTTCTGCCCTCAGTGTTCAGTCCTGGGCACAACACTTTAAGAGGCATGTTAATAGACTAGAGGACATCTAGAGAAAGTTCAAGATGGTGGAGGAATGTTGTAATCATATCAGAGGAAGACTAGTTGAAGGATTTGGTGATACTTAGCCTATAAAAAAAGAAAAGACTTAGTAGGGATATATAGGTGCAGGACTGAACTTGTCATTTCATTGTTACAGAGAACTCTCAGGTGAGGAGACTCTACCAACACAGCACATTTTTCTGCAACTTATAGTCAAATAAAGTTGACTAGAACACTGAGAAGTTAATTAAGTCGTTTGGTTAGAGTGACACAACCAGTATTGTTAGAGGTGGATCTTGAACCCAGGTCTTCCTGGACTCCAGCTGATGCTATGTCCCTTAGACTAGAATGCCTCTCTTTAATGAGGGTATAGAAGATACAATAGTGTTCTTAGATGTATGGAGAATTTTCATGTGAAAGTTGGGATTCAGTTTCTAGAGAATAGAACTAGAACCAGTGAGTGGCTATCCAAGGAAGGAAGATTTTGGCTCATTGTAAGGAAATTGTTTGTTTAGTTATTTTTCAGTCATACCTGATTTTTCATGACCCCATTTGGGGTTTTCTTGGCAGAAATATTGGAGTAATGCTAATTTCCTTCTTCAGCTCATTTTACGGATTAGGAAACTGAGGCAAACAATTCAGTGACTTGCCTAGGGTCACACAGCTAGTAAGTGTCTGAGGCCAGATTTGAACTCACAAAGACGAGTCTTCCTGGCTCTAGGCCCAGCATTCTATCCACTGTACCACCTAGCTGCCCACCATATAAGAAATACTTTTTAACAATTAGAATTGTCCACTAATGGAATGAACTACCTCCAGTAGTGAACTCTTCAGTATAGGAAGGGAACACTTGCTCTCAAAGAGCTTATATTCTAACGGGGGAGACATTATGTAAAAAAAAAAAAATGAATTGTGAGATCTGAGGAAAGTCACTAGCAGGAGTGGAGTGTGAGATAGAGAGAAGGGAATTGGAAAGCCCTACTGCATAAGATGGGATTTGAACTGAGTCTTGAAGGAAGCCAGGAGGCAGAGGTGAAGAGGGAGAGCATTCCAGGCATGGGAGACAACCAGTAGAAAAGCATGGTGGCAGGAAATGGAGTGGTATATGGGAGGAACAGCAAGGAAACCTGTATTTCTGGATTGTAGAGTATGTGGAACAGAGTGAAGTATAAGAAAACTAGAAAGGTAAGAAGAGACCAGGTTGTAAAGGGCTTTAAAAGTCAGGACAGGATTTTATGTTTGATCCTAGGGTTTACAGAGCCACTGGAGTTTATTGAATGGAGATAACACGGTCAAACCTGTACTTTAGGAAAATCATTTTGACTTCTGAGTGGAAGATAGGTAGGAGTGGGGAGAAACTTAAAGGAGAGAGACTGACCAGAAGTTTATTGCACTAGTCCAGGTGTGAGATGATGGTAGTAGATATGAATTAAGAGGAGACATATATGAGAAATGTAACAAGACTAGGGAATATGTTGGATACATAAGGTGCCTACATATGAGGAACTGAGATGATAGCAAAGTTGTGGACTGGATGAGGGACTAGGATGATGCTGTCCGTGGTACCCTCAACAGTAATAAGGAAGCTCAGAGGAGAAAGATATTTCTGTTTTGGACGTGTTGAGTTGCAAGATGTCTATGAGATATCCAGTATGGGATGTATAAAAGGCAAGTTGGCAGTGTGAGACAAGCTCAGGAGATAGGGCCAGATTATAGATTTTGAAGCCGTGAGAGCTGATGAGATCACCAAATGAAGTTGTATAGAGGGAAAAGAAAAAAAGAGACAGAATAGACCCTTGGGGACTTCCTGGGCTAATGGGCATGACTAGATGAAGATCCAGCAAAGGAGATTGAAAAGGAGGAGAGTGTTAGGAAGAGGACTAGAGAGAAGAGAGTATCCAGGAGAAAAGGATGATCAATGTGTGTGTCAAAGGCTGTAGAAAGATCAGGATTCAGAAATAGCCATTAGATTTGTCAATTAAGAGAGCATTGTTAACTTTGGAAAGAGAAGTTTCAATTGATGAGGTCAAAAGCCAGATTACAAAGAATTACAGAGAATTGAGTGAGAGGAGAAGAAGTGAAGGCACTGACTGTAGATTGCCTTTTCAAGTGTAGCCATTAAAGAGAGGAAAGATGGAGGAGGAAACGTTGTGGGGATGGTTAGATCAAATGAGAGATTTTTTTTTTTAATGTGGTAGAGATATGGGCATGTTTCCAGGCAGCAGAGAAACAGCCAGTGGACAGTGAGAAACTGAAGATAAGTGAGAGTGGGGATGATAGAGGGGATAATCTTCTAAAGAATGGAATGGGATCAAAGGTGTATGTAGAGGAAAGTTTGCCTTGGTATGTGAGACAGGGGTCAAGGATGAGATAGTTGGCAGAAGTCATCTGAATACTTGGAAATGAGAAGAGGGAAAGAGGAAGCTCTTGGAAGTGATCTGTTTTCTTCAGTGAAGGATGAGGCCAGGGCCTGAGATGAGAGGGACATGGGAGAGGCTGCTGTGGGAGGTTTGAGAAGAGATGAAAAGGTGTGGAATGGTCTCTGTCAGGAGTGGAAGAGCAAAAGTCCATTAGAGAAGTGTGAAAGGATTAGTTGAGATTACTTATCTGCATTGGTTTTTGTACTAGAGAAGATAAAGAGATAGACTAACTTTTGTTTCTTTCTTTTTCCTGTATGGTAGGTCTTTAGGTAGCCAACTGTGGAACAAACTTACTTGTTTGAGATATCTGAAAGGATTAGAATTAGAATTTCGGCCGTCACAATTCTATTTGTCTTAAGACATTTCCCGTATTTGATGAGGTAATTTTCCCCAAATAAAATATTAAAAAAAAAAACCCTTGCTATTTTGTGTATCATATAATTGTGGCAGGGTCACTTTACCTCTCTGAATGTCAGTGTGAATCCTGTCTACCTTATAGTGCAGGGATTCTTAGCCTTTTTTGACTCCTTTTGCAGTCTGGTGAAACCTTTGGACTTTTTTAAAAATTTAATTTATTTTATTCTGAACTTCAAAAATAAAACAAGCATTTCCATAACGTAGTAGAATGGGAAAAAAGATGGTTGTAAATGAAACTGCAAATCTACTGTATGCAATTTGCTATTCCTTTTAAATGTATGATAAAGTTATCATGTAACTTTCCTTTTTTCCCTTTTTTCTTCCCTCCCCCACCCTACAGATGGCTACTATTAAACACAATATAAATATATACATATATATGTAAAAAACATTCTATACATATGTCTGTTTATCAGTTCTTTCTCTGGATGCAGATAGTGTCTTCCTTCGTATGTCCTTTGTAGTTAATTCAGGTAGACTTTTTCTCAAAATAATTTTTTCAAATGCATAAAATAAAACAAAATTAGAAAGGAAACCAATCATATCAAAATACAGCTATTAGTTTTCTTTAAAAGTTCATCAGAGGCAAGTTAAGAACCTCTGTCTCCATTGCCAAGAAGGTACATTTCATAGCCCAAAATAATGCCTTGAAAGTGTTCTCAACTAATACTCGAAGTGTGAAAGTATATTATGCACTCATTAGGTACACGTATAATCTAATACGGAGGTCAGTTATTGCTGAAAAGCACAACTTTCTTAAAAATGGCTTTGCCTTCCCCTTTAATGATATCTTTTATTTAGGAATCACAGGACGTGCAGAGGTTTGCCGTGCTATGGTGAAGCTAAAGACAAGAGCCAAATCAATTTTTGCAGTTACTTTCTTTTGAGAGAAGTACATTACCTGCCTTATTCGGTATGGCTAAGAGTGCCGAAGTTAAGTTGGCAGTGTTTGGCCGAGCAGGTGTGGGGAAATCAGGTAAGATTGTTACCATCATTTCCACCTTGTGAATGAGATGTGAAAAATGATTCTTTTTCCCTTTTCCTGTATGACGCACCATTATGCAAAAAAAAAAAAAAATCTTTTCTTTAGCTGGAATTTTTACTTCAAATTGCCTGTTTTTGTCTCTTTAAAGTGAAGTTTTGTTTTTGGTTAAAAAAAGTTATGATGATAATACTCTGAAACCCATATGGATTATCTTGGGCCCACAGGTCAGGCAAGAAATTAAATTAAACCAGGCCTAAAATAAATTAGACTCTTTCTTTTTCTACATATTTATAAATGAATGTGTGTATCCCCATGTATATGTTTATATGCATTTGTGAGCTTTTCACTAATTTATTTTTATCAGATGCATTATTAGTCTTGTGTGAGAAAAGCTAATAGAAATGTTGTAAATTGGCAGTTTTAAAAATTTGCTGGCAAGTTTTACAAGCAGATTCTTTAAAATGTGTTTATATGTTCTTCTCCTGGCTCACACAGATTATTCAGGGCCTTTTTATTCCCAGCATTAGTAAAGGACATTTACGTTGAAGACAGAGAGTAAAATAATGGACTGTGATGTAGCTAACATCCAGTTTTTGAAGTCTTTGATCATTTATGATCAAGGATTGCTAAAGTAGAGGATGCTAAAATGTCAGGTCAGCTTGAGCTTTTGGATGCTGGCTCTTTGTTCTTGGGGGAAACAACAGTAGTTGACTCTACATGCCCTACTATCCTTTTATTCCTAGTAAAGAGATTCACTGGTCATCTGAAAGACAGATGGTAGAGCCATGCCCCACTCATTATTAAAATGAACAAATCAGATAATGGATAGTCCACAAAAATTGAGTCCAACATGCCCAGTGACTGAGGTGCTATAGTCTAATCTTATCTCCTTCTATCTGTGGTCATACTACTGGCTTTCTGGGTTTACTTCATTCATAATCTCACTTTGATCAGAAATCTTTTTTTATCTTTCTACAAGTGTGCTTCCTTCTGCCCTAGCCTCACTTCTTTTTCTTGTCCAAGATGCAAGCAGAAACCAAACAGAAATTAGGTATGAGCTAAGAAGCTGCCGTACTTGTACTTTTACTAATGTTCATGATCTGGTTAATTCCCATGTTAGCTGATTAGTACTGATGCTAGCTATACTTATCTGATTAAAGTTCAGTCCTATAGGAGTAACCTAAATTTTGTAATTGTTTTTGATATAATTTTTAAAAATACTTTCTTTCAATTAATAAGATAAGCATTTATATTCTCTTCCTCTTGTATCCCCAACACCTGCTGAGAAAGAAAATACATTAAGCAAAACAGAACCTTTGCTATAAATGTGATTAATTGGGTAAAACAAATTCCCATGTTGGCCATGACCAAAAATGTATGTCTTGTTTTCGCACACTGATTACATCGTATTGATCAAGAGTTCTTAATTCTTTCAAAGCTGTTCATGTTTACATTGTTGTTGTTGTTGTATAAATTGTTCTACTGGTTCTGTTCACTTAAGTCTTCATCAATTCATAAATGTATTCCTAGGTTTCTCTGATTTCTTATTTCTTATGATAGTATTCCATTGCATTCATATACTGAGTAGTGATAGCATTGTTAGAGAATGACAAAAATTAGCTCTTCAGTTGTGACATCTTCTCAGTCCTGAAAGACTGAGTACATCTCAGAGCTCCATTTTTTTCCCTTTCTTCTCACTGATCATCCCTTTACCAGTCTTCACTGTCTCTTCTTACACCCTAGTGTCAGATGAAGATGTGGCCCTTCTCTTTGCTGAGGCCAACCCCATTTACAGGCGTGCTTGATCATCTCCAAAAGATTGTCCCCTGCCATAGTCCTCCTCTAATCTTCAATCTCTCCCTGTTTGCTGTTTTTTTCCCCTAAGTGCAGACATACTGATAGCTCCCCATCCTTAAAAAAAACTCTCAATTGATCCTACCATTCCCCTCCACCCCCAGCTATTTACTATATCTCTCCTCTTCTCTGCTCAACTTCTTGAAAAAGTCATCTGTATCTCGTGCTCCCACTTCCTGTCTTCTTACTTTCTTCTAAACTCTCTATAGTCTGTCATCTCACCTCATCACTCAACTGAAACTGTTCTCACCAAAGTTACCATTGATCTCTTAATTGCCAAATATTATTTGTCAAATATAAATCTCTATCTTCCTGCTTGTTGCCTGCTCCTTCATATACAGGTCCTTTAATGGAGACCAGAAATGAGTTTCCTAGGTTATGGCTTCACTCTTACTGTTGAACATATGACATAAATATAATTATTTAGGTACTTTAGTCAGGGTGTAGGTCCTGAAAGAAATCAAATTCTAGGTAGGAAAATGTAAAATGAAAATAAACTTAATATTTGTATTAGACCTCTCAGGTTAAATTGATGCTCCCTTTCTTCATTTTTTTTTTTAGGTAGTAAGTGTGGAAAGGGAAGCTGGTTAAATATTTTATTGTGGTCTGTTTCTTTTTAAGCATATATTTTCATGATTGACATCCCCTCAATAGAAATGAAATAGCTTGTGCAATTTCCCTGATAAATAAATATTAATATGTTTCTTGAATAGACTATCATCATAATAAGATACTATAATTCAAAGGCCAATTGGTCCATTCAGTCATGAACTCTCATTTTTAATAGAATGTTGTAACATGTTAGTTAAGGAACAAACCCAAACTGATCTGTGTATTTTCCTTTCCTGGGAAAGGGTTGTGCCTTAATCTATCACCTGTCTATTTATCTATCTGTCTGTCTGTCTGTCTATTATCTATCTATCTATCTAGACATATATACTCATATCTATGTATCTTCTTTAGTTATACCATAACTCTCTCTCTCTCAATAAGATTTATTAATTGCCTGCATTGTGCCAGATATTGGTAATACAAAGACCTAGGTGAAATAGTCTTTCCTCTAAAGAATCTTATATTCTTTTGGGAAGACAATATGTACATATATAAATATCTATGTAATAATACCAAAATAAATACATGGTAAGTAAGAGAGGGAGAGTACTAGCAGTTCATACAGAAAGTAGGGCATTAGCACATATACATGTATATGTTATGCATATATATATGCATACATATGTATAGGTATCAGGCAACATAGAGTAATAGCTAGAGAGTTGGTCTTGCAGCCAAGAATAACCAAGTTCAAATCCCATCTCTGACATATTTGGCTGTGTGAATCTGAGCAAGTCACTTAATTTCTCAGTCTAAGCAACTAGTAATCCTCTAGGACTACAAGTTACAGTGAAGGTTCTAATATAAATTGAGGTTAGAGGGAGTTTGCTTGTTCAAGAATTTCCTACGTCACTGAAATAATGGGTGTAATCCTCATATATATATATATATATATATATACACCTATATATGTGTACATACATAGAGAATATAGTGCTTTAGTAAAAATAATCATTATTGTCTAAGCTTCAAAACTCATTTTAAAATGTGTAATAAGAGCAAAGAGCTGCTCTGTCTTGCTCTCTCTGTCCTGAAAATATTACTATTACTTGATAAGTTTGCATAGTAACCATAAAGATATAATGTCTCAATTAGTCTGCGGCATCTTCAGTGAGATAAGCTGTATTTCATCAAGTATTGTTCTTGAATTCTCCTCTCCCTCCCCCTCTCCCCACTTTCATAGTATGATGAAATGAGCACAGTATTGGGAGTCCAGAGAACTGAGTCCTGGCCCTAGCCCCAGCTTTGCCTCTTCATGAACTATGTACCCTTGGGGGGAAAAAAGAATGTCTTTGAGCCTCATTTTATCTTTAAAATTGACATGGTTGGACCAATGCTTTGAGATAGCATTTAGCTGCAAAATTCTATGATTCTATAATTTGAATTATCCTTTCTGTGGCAAAACCAGATCTTGTGTAGTACTTAATACATGTTTATAAATGTGAATTAAATTGGATAAGAAGAGGTCTGAAGTGGGCTCCCAATAACATCTGTGATTATGTTTATAAAACATAAACACAAAACAAACTCGTTGCTGCTGTATACAAACTCTCCTGTGATTGGTGTCTGTGCCTTTATTCAAAGAACTCATCCTCACTCCTCCACCATCCCCAACACACATACTGCTCCTGTGGTGCCCTCCCTCCCACTTCATTTGGCTTCTGAAACTTATCGGACCTGGCTCAAGTACGTTTTCCTGTATGAAGCCTCCCTTGATCTTCTTGCTTACTGCTGATCTTTTCCTCCTCAGACCTCACATGCCATTTTGTACTTCTTAGGACCTATTTGGAAAAATCACCATTACCTGTACTTTGCTAGATTCCCCTACTAGAGCGTACGTTCAGTGGTGACAGGAACCATGTGTTCATTATATTCGTATCTTTTCCTCCACTAGCACAGTGCTTTGCATGTAGTAGGTATTTAATAAGTGTTCAATAGAGTTAAACAGTTTCTTGGTAGAGTAAGGCCTTGGATTGTGGTGGAGGAGGGAGTAATTGAAGAGAGAGATCAGCATGATAGGTTTAAAATATTGGAAGGTTAGAGAAGTAGCTTCTTTTGTCTTCAGGAAATCTAATAACCTGAAACATCCTCTCTAATTACATAAGAAAGGCAAAGAATGAGACACCATGCAGACTATTGTATTTCCTTTCTGTTCCTTCCATGAGGTGAGTAGGAGACTGACTTTTCCAAGTTGCATGTGTTTATATATAAGAAACATACAAAAAGTTTAGACAAACAGAGGGCCATATAACTCTTTCTTGTGTATTATGGAAAGATTGCAAGGATGAGTTGAGCTGAATAGGACATGGAGACAAGGATGATTTGTTTGCTGATTATTTCTTAATTATCTATGATTAGTTGTACCCAGGGCATGCAAAACAATTTTATATCTAGCTTACCAAAAAAAAAAAAACCAAAAACCCCAAACATGATTAGGTAATAAAACCTGGTGAAAGTGTTTAAGAATCTTGTTTTCTAAAGTCAAATAGAAATTAATTTGGACTATTCACTGTCTGGGATTATTT